CTTGCTGGTACTTCCTGTCCCACGGTGTCTGCATGCGGGTGCACGCGTCCATATACTTACCTTGCGTCTCTCCTCATCTCCCGGCCAAAAATCCGAAATTGCGCATGCACCTGCCACAGGATGCTTTGCGGCCGCCCGAGCAGTTTCGGATTTTCGGACGGGAGCATGGAAGACACAGGTAAGTTTAAACCGCTTTTAAAGCGCAAAGCACAACTTGAGACCCCACCAGGCCACCAGAGACCCCGCACAGCCCACCCGAAACTGCGCACAGCTCACACAAAACCCCGCACAGCCAACCCGAGACTCTGAACAGCCCACCCGAGACTCCGCACAGCCCACCCGAGACTACGCACAGCCCACCTAAAATTTCGCACAGCCCACCAGAGACTCCACACAACCTACCTGAGACACCACACAGCCCACCTGAGACTTCGCACAGCCCACCTAAAACTTTGCACAGCCCACCAGAGACCCCACCAGGTCACCTGAGACTTCGCACAGCCCACCTAAAACTTAGCACAGCCCAGCTAAAACTTTGCACAGCCCACCAGAGACCCCAACAGGCCACCAGAGACCCAACAGGCCACCTGAGACCCCACCAGGCCACCTGAGACCCCAACAGCCCACCTGAGACTCCGCACAGACCACCTAAAACTTTGCACAGCCCACCTAAAACTTTGCACAGCCCATCTAAAACTTTGCACAGCCCAGCAGAGAACCCACCAGAGACTCCACACAGCCCACCGGAGACTCCGCACAGCCCACCTAAAACTTTGCACAGCCCACCAGAGACCCCACCAAAAAAAAAGCTTTAAGCAATGCACATATGGATGTAGCCCACCCTACCTCAAGCTGACTCTCGGTGCCGGGCAGCATATTTTGAATGGCTGCTTGGCGCAAGAACTGACAGTGGTGAGCTAGGGGAAGGCTGAAAGCAATTATACATGACTGTGTGCAGATCTCACCAGGGATGCATGCAGGTCTCACCAGGGCTGCTTTTGGGTCTCACCAGGGCTGTGTGCGGTCTCACCAGGGGTGCTTTTAGATCTCACCATGGCTGCATGCAGATCTCACCAGGGTTGCATTTGGGTGCCGGGCTCTCTGGGCATTGCCCGTGGGTGCTGGGCTCTGCGGGTGGGTGCCGGGCTCCAGGGCTATACGGCGGCGTGTGTGGCTGTCCTTTGCTGTGCCTGTCTCTGCGGGCACCGGAAAGGAGGAGGACATGTGAGGCCGGACAGGCACTGTCAAAGAAAGCTGCCTGAGGTCCCCAGCAAAAGTGTGGGAACTCAGGCACCCAAACTCCTTGAAAAAATAGTAGAGTGCCGGTATCGGCCTTTAGTGTCCGGGCATTTTCACGAGTACAAGTATTCGTGAAAATGCCCTGTATTGGCTCCAATACCGATTCTAGTACCAGTATTGGGACATCCCTAATTCCTACTAAACATATTTTGCTATTACTGTTCTATCTGTTTACTCATATCATTTTTTTTCTTTTGCAGCACTGTATAAAATTTATAAAATAAATGTTCAATACAAGGAGTCAGATGAATTCTTGGTTTACCTGCAGCAGACATACAGCCGGTAAATTGGTATAGATGTTTCCCCTCCAAATTACCTTGATCACCAATCAGTGACATCCTTTAATGATGCTTACATACAGTTACCTGTCAAAGAAAGAATTTGTTTGTATTATAACAATTCAGATACAAGACAGAAATCCATAGAACAAAGTTTCATCAGTTTAGAACTGAAATAAATAATATAAGATGATTGCTTGTTTTCTCTTTTTGCAAGTTGTACATTGTCCTGTGCCTTAGTACATTAAAGTGACATTAAAGTCACAGTTTTTCCCCCCTTCCCAATCCTGCTGTAGGGACTTACCTTAAATGATATGAAGAGAAAGGTTTGTTGCCCTCCTTACCGGATAATCCCAAATATGGGGAAGGGTGCTTGGATGACCGCAGATGGCTCCGCCAGTTGCAGATAATAAAGAGATGTCACCAGCACACCAGACTCCTTCAAGGATAGTCAATCGTGAATTTATTCAAAACTTATGTCAAATACACAAGCGCTTTCGGGGCCACACAGGATCCCTTTATCAGGCATAGCAGTCACTGATGAAGGGATCCTGGTCCCGAAAGCGCTTGTGTATTTGACATAAGTTTTAAATAAATTCATGATTGACTATCCTTGAAGGAGTCTGGTGTGCTGGTGACATCTCTTTATTACCTTAAATGATGTCTCTTAATCCGATCTTCTTCTTACCTGTCCTTTTCAGATGTCCCTCCAGCGCAGGTGCGGGTCTCCGATCCAGCGCTGACTCCTCTGTCCTCCTCTTCTCTGATGCCCCACGGAGTCTGTGCGGGTACACGCTGCTCCATAGACTTACCTTGTGCCTCTCCTCATCTCCCGGCCGAACATCTGAACTGTGCATGTGCCCGCCCCAAGAACCTTTGCGGCCGCCTGAGACTCTTCACATGTTCGGACGGGAGCGTGCGGCGGAGACACAGGTAAGTTTAAACCATTTTTAAAAAAAAATGTTTTTGCATATGTAGCGCTACCCCCGCAAGGGCCGCTGTAATATACGGGACATATATCTACTGCTTGCTATAGCACAGTTTAATAACCCTTTAAAGCTGAACTCCAGGATAAGAAAATATTTTTCTAAATTCAAGAGGCCTGTGTATGCTCATTTGAAACTTGGTGTGCTTTGTATATTTCTTCCAGATCTGTCCAGTGTGAAACTTTGTCTCTGCGAAGGTGCTTCCTGTAATTAAGACCAGTCACTGCTGCTCTCTCTCCATGTGAAGGGTGACTGGTCTTGTATCCGCCCCCTCTTGTAGTGGGTGGCCTGATGGTCCTTTCCCACAGCTCTGCTCTCTGCACCGGTTGTGTGAATCACAGTGATTATGTCAACACTACTTTATATAGTCATATCTGGGTTTGCAAAGACATTTGGTGCGCACAAAGTGGATTTATAAGCTGCCTCCGGTCACATCACTATACCATCGTGCTACCGGCTGCTTTTAGGCTGGATTTACATACTCCCTACCACAGAATCACGAAACGCGCAAATCAAGCCTAAAAGCAGCCGGTGCCACGATGGTATGGTGATGTGACCGGAGGCAGCTTTTCATACACAGTCGGAGCAGAACACTCCTTAGACAATGATCCTGTGGTCTCTTATTGACAAGTGTGACTGAAATTTTATAGTTGTGAGTATTTATAACCATTTTTATTATTCAAATAAAAAAAGATTTCACACAAGGAAGTAACAAACAAAGCTACATATAAAAAGCCACCATTCTAGAGATGGGTCGCTAATGAGCGATCCGGATCTATTGAGCGGCTCCCTCAGAAGAATGAAAGAGCGGTGGCTCAGTAAAAATGAGCGGCGGTTCTTTTGGGTCTGTGCTCTGTGGATGGAATGTAGAAGCAGAGAGTGAGACAAGAGCGGCTCCTATCAGCAGCTCTTGTAATATGAACTTAGAGTGAGAGCCAGGCTTCTGCCAGCCCTTCCCCTGCAACCAATCACATCTGTGAACCAACAGAGACGGATCTCGAAAAGTTAGACATACTCAGGAATGATTTGGTTCTTTCAGCTCCTTTGCATCTGGCTCTCAATGGATCAGGATTGGAATGATATAGTTCTTCAGCTCCTTGCGCCTTCTCAATGATACTGATTGAGATCTGCTCAGAGAGGTTCACTCATTCTATGCTACAGCATTTCTCAATCTTATGAATTGTGCTTCTGGTTTAAAGAGGTAAGTAAATTCATGTGAATTATAATAATGAGTGTAGCACAACTCCTGTTCCCTCCCTCAAACTACACCCCGTCTCATTTCCTCTCCTACTATAGTAAAAAGAGCCGTTTAGTGAACCATGAGCCGTTTAAAAGATCCGGATCTTTTCAGTGAGCGATCCGTTGAGGAGCGCTCATGCAGATGAACCGTTTTGCCCATCTCTACACCATTCAATCCAATTATGGAGTCATTAGAATGGTATTTATTTTACATACAGCTGGCAAAAGTACACAAATCTGTATTGACATTAATTCCTGTAATCCCATGTACAACTGCACAGAGACTGGAAGAGGGAGAGAAAGCACTAGGAGCTAACCAGGCTCTGGTGCTGGCTAAAAAAACATAGTCAAATATCTTAATGCATATTGGGTTTTACCTACACTTGTCAGTTCAGAATGACTAAAAACAAGATGCAGCTTGTTAGAATGTGCTGGCCGTCACAGACATGTGTCATTGATGGCATGGAGCCAGAACAGAACAAGTTAGCGGGACATTGGCTTATTGCCATTTGCATTATGCCCAGATATTAGACACTGTTTCCTGTCCGTTCACATTATGTAGGAAGGTTCATAGTTCCGTGGAGCGTGAAACAACACCAAGCTTGTTGTCACAGTTTACAACAGATATGCCACATGGAAAAGTAAAACTATGGTAATAAAAGTTACAATACAACAAGAAAGTACAGTAGTATTAAACTCTCAATCTTTGGTTCAATAATGAATCCAGATCAAACAAATGTACATTGCCTGAAAAGCATTTGGTTTTTGTATTTTTTCCCAAACACTTACAGCCATCTTTGCCAAAAAGCTAGCTCCAACACTCTCAGTTCAGCTTACTTTAATTTCCTGTCCAGTACAAGATCACAAGGGAGAGCACAGTCTCCAGCAAATGACCATCTATTAGATTGGAGAAAGGGGAAGGGAGTTAAGAGTTGCAGGGAGGGAAGGAGTGTATTGCCTTGCTTTGCTTGTGTGTACCGCTTCCTAGCTCACACAAGGGTGGCTCCATAGGACCATGCAATGGAAAGGAGCCGCCCTAACACAGGATATCAGGGTCAGTGCTAAGGGATCCAGCTGATTAATCAACATTTGAAATAGCTTCAAAACATTTCTGACTTGAATATAACTTTAATTCTTAATGCATGTAATATTTTGTTACAACATGCCTCATACTAAATCCTACCACTCTACTTGACCTATTTTACCTATAATTTTATGCACTCTACACCAGTGGCGTCACAAGGGGGGTGCGGCCCGCACCCGGGTGACACCATGGCAGGGGTGACACCAAAATGACTGACAGTCAGTTTGGTGTCACCCCCTCTGAAAAGTCAGGCACTCGGTCATGGACCGAGAGCCCGACAGTGACAGGAGAGAGGAGGGGACCCGGCGGCATACCTCATCCCGCCGGGTGAACGTCCCCTCCTCTCTCTGCCGGCGTCCATCTCCAAGATGGCCGCCTGCAGGCGTCAATCAGATGGCCGCGCATGCACGATGATGTCATCACGCACGCGCGAGGTGATGTCACACGCACGTGCGAGGTGATGTCACACGCGCGATAACGACATGGCAGGGTGTCACCCGCTCTGGAGACTGGGTGTCACCCAGCCTCGGGACGCCCCTGCTCTACACTTAAAGCCAATTTCCACATTTGCGGAGGTATAAAAAAAAACATATGCCAACAATGCACAAATCGAGTGTACATGAAGCAGGCATATGTAGTTGCTGTATATGAACACAGAAACATACATTTTTTGTTAGCGTCTTCATATCCTCATGGAGATGGCTGCTTCTGGCTCTCCACCCCCATTCATTAGTATTCATAGTGGCACCCCCAACCCAACTGCCCCAACAGTGTATTGTGTGTAGAGGCAGAGCTGGTGTTTAGTAATTGTGTTATACAGAATCACAGGGAGGGGGCAGCTGTTTACAGCCTGCTTTACAAACCGACCCCGGTGTCAGACTGAGTTTCCTGTGGAGAACATTTTGTATTGCTACGATTCAGGCCTAATAAAAAGTTCATAAAAATGAAGAAAGTCTGCAATGTGAGTCATGAAAATTTGCACATGTATACATTGTCACCTCTACATTGCCACAATAAATGGCAGATCATTACTATAGACATGTATTGCCTGTTGATAGCATTGAACAATAGACACTTAGTATAGGTGATCTGTAATTCCTGCTCCTTGCTAGTTTTCCTGTCCAGGCACAGTCCCTGGCAGGCACTAGGTTATTGGCATACAGTCCTCTTTCTTGGCTAGATTCATGTGAGCAGGTAGGCACTTAAGATGCATTACTATGTGATGTGTTTTGTGTAGAAGAAGATACAGAAAAGGATTTTTTAAAAATTATTTTCCACATACACAGAAACTACAAAGGGGTAGCAGAAGGTGGATTCTGATTTTTTTATTTTTGTGAAGTGTGGAGTTAAAAAAAAATCCCCCATACACAATAGCATAATACGTTACAATAGGATACAAGTGTCAAAAGTATATGGTGGAAAACTGACACAGAAAAATGCTGGCCCTTTATGGAGGGAAAGGGTTGGTTTTCAGATATATTGCATTTTATTTTTCAGATTTTCTTTGTTTAATAATAACATTGATTTTTTTTTTTGGTCTTGTTAACAGGAAAATTTGTGGTTGCAAATATTTCCAGCCAGGCTGCTTTTCATGTGCTTTATGTGCGTATGGCATGTGCATTAGACTCAATTCACAAAACTACAAGTTATTTTTAGATGAGTCTATTTCAATTTGAAAATAGCAGTCACATGGCTAAAGTACAATTCTTTATCTTTGTATGAAAACTTTGTGAATTGAGCGTATTGCTTTAGTT